CTTTTTACTATTTATAAATTTATAGCCACTGTATTTTAACAAAAAGGGAAGGCAGTTTGTAAAGAACTGAAAAACTTATGAAAACACAGGTTTTAATTATTTATATCCAAACAAACAGATATAATCTTGATCAAATAGTTATTAATCTCTTCATCAAAAATCCTCTGAAAGTAAAATGCATTTCTTCATTGTAGACAGGGTAAGTTTGGACCAACTGACAATTCAGGAGGAATAGTGAAAACTTAAGCATTTATGTGTCAGGAATTAAATTATTTTTGAAAGGGGGATCTAAGTCATTTTAGGCATATCTACATAATTCAACACAAATTAGTTATTATGCATTTTTTTTAAATTGAAATATTCTGTAAGAGATTATAATTCAGAGAACAAAACTGGCATTTAATTTTTCTTCTAAAAGATTCCATTTTAAACATGTAATAGAAAATATACAATTGAAAACATCAGTCATGTTCTTAGATTGACTGGTATACCTTAATAGAACACTTATATTCAGCTTGTCTACATTACCATTAAATCAAGCATTCCGGCATCAGAGTTTTTCTCTCCTTTCTAAACTCAGACTAGTTATTAGAGGGCTAGACTACAACCATAGTAAATCTTGTGAGAAATGAACACCTGCTAGTAAAACCACAGAAATTATATATCACTTGAAGCTTACACTCTTCTATGAGGCCTCAAAAAGAATTTTGAAAATAGGCAAGAAGTAAGGGAGCAAGAAGTCAGTCCACTTATTAACACTGCACCAAAGAAACCTTTCTCCTTCCTATTCCCTCGCCACTACCCAAAGAAAAGACTAAAAGGAAGTCACTCAAGCTGCAATGCCCTCTTCAAATTAACTTAGAGTGTGAAAACAACTCTTGCCACATAAACTATGCACACAACAGTGGACAGGAATGTTCTTTTTGAAAACAGCCCTAACGTTATTCTAAGTTACAAATTCAGAACATTTCAAAACAAGCCTAATAAAATGCTGAGTATATGTAACAAGTCTAGAGACTTTAATGGACAGGCAAAACCCAAGCAGCAATTTGTGAGATAATCACCCCGAGTGCTCAAAAAGAATATACACAAGTGACCACTTCAAACATCCACACACACACACACACATATATATATATATATGACATATAAAAGGTTGTATACAGGACAGTAAGAGAAATATCATCAACAAAAGAATTTGAAACAATCAAAGCCACAAAAGTCTGGGGATAAAAGTTGTTCATTATGGCCAAAAAAGCTCATAATGGAATAGGCATTCTTCCTTTCTTTGACTCTTCCAGGCTAAAAATTTCTAAACGGGCCAAAATGTTTATTTAAAAAAAAAAAAAAAAAAGTTAAAATGCATTACAGAGCACGCATAAAAAAGGATATACACAACTTAAATGACTGTTTAAAATCCGAGATTCTAGAGTTGACAGATGGATACTTTAATTATTCAGAAATATATTTTTGTCTTACGCAATTATGAATGATACAGGTTTATAATTATGGATACATGTTTTTGACTCACATTGTTTCTCCAGTCTTGGCTACATGACAAAGAAACTGATCGAGCACAGGACAAACTTCCTTTTTCCCCCTCTTCTCAAAATCTACATAAGAGAAGAAAGAAAAGTTATCAGTATTTCCCAAAAATTCATAAACCATATAAAAACAAACTTTCCTACCAGTCTTTCCCCATATTAAGAAGCAATTTAAAAAAATTAGCTTCTCAATCAAATAGCCAATCTCCCAAGTTGCACTTTCAAAATGTCACCCTCCTCTCTGGTAACAAGACTCCTCCAAAAGGGGGCACTCGACCACTCCATAAACCAGCTTTAACGCAGTGTTTCTCAAAGTGTGGTCACAGGGAATACCACCATCAGTCTTACTTACGAATATGGTTAAAATACCTATCTCCAGGCCTCGACCTCAAAAACTGTTTATCTAGGTGCAGTTCACAAGTCTGCGTTGTAACATATACTAGCTACGACGGAGCCGCCCCAAAAAGATTCTGCGTGTCAAATATAATTTTCGAAACCCTGAAATCACGACATTCCAAGTTTGGGAATCACAGTTCTCAAGCCTGTTGCTTGGAAAGCGACCACCTCAGAATTAGGGCTCGTGGAAAGATGCCTTCAGAAGCCCTGAAAGGCTTCTTCAGACAACTTTAAAGTTGCTCCGCCAGCGCCTCACCACCACCCTTTTTACTTTTTCTATCACCTGCCAGGCGTGCGGTAGCCTGATGGGGAACCGAATGAGCGTGAGAGGGGGCTGGGGCCCACGACCTGTCTTCTACGGGTGGGAGAGGGGCTGTGGCCCCACCGAGAGCTTCCCCGACTCCCCTCCCCCAGCCCAGACGCCAGCGGCAGACACAAAGCCCAGAGCGGGGCGGGAGGGAGCTGCCCACAGGGCTCCCCGCCCCTGGGGAGGTGGAAGGGGGATGGGAGCCGGAGCAGCTTTCCTCCCGGCCCCGACCCTCGGAGCCACGAGCCCTGAAAAGAGAGGAGAAAGGGCCGCGGAAAGTGAGGGGCAAGGGAGAGGGGGCAGCTACCCCCACCTTTCAGCGCCTCCTGCAGCCTCTCGACGTCCATGGCTTCCCAGAGTCCCTCGCAGTCTCCGCCTCCCACCGCGGGTCTCCCCGAGACCGGAACGCCTCCCCCCACCCCCCCGACGCCCTCCCCCTCCCTCGCACACACTCCGGCACGCAGGCGACTGGGGGGGGCACCGAAGGGAGCCGGGGGAAGCGAGCGAGAGAGCGAGACCGAAAGAGCGAGCACCTCCCCGAGCCACTACCACCAGCCCTCCAACATGGCGCCCGGCACGTCACTGCGCGCATGCTCCCCGCCGCCGTCCTCGCGCCCGCTGCGCGCCCCGACCCGAGAGCATGAGAGCGCGTGCGCAACGGAGGCGTGCGGCCGGGCGCTCCCCACGAGTCCGGCAGTTGGATGTGGCTCCGTCCTGTTTCTGCGTGGTGTTTCTTGGCGGGCCCACGCGGTGCTGGAAACAGAATGGTTAAGGAAAGGGCTTGAGCTGACTCCCTGGTTTTGAATTCCTGCCATTGGCTAGGTGTGTGACCTTGAACAATTTACTTCACCTCTTAGCTTCATTTTCCCCCGTGTGTTCAATGATGGCACAGGTTCCAACTACCCTAGCTATATAATTGCTGTGAAAATTGAGAGTGTGTACATATAGTGTTCAGAGTATGAATTAAAAAACACTCCAAATTACTACTTCTACTAATAACAAGAATACCCCTCTGCCTGAACTCAACGCTCATTGTCACTGACCTACCTGTGAAGAGAAGCAGTGCACACAGCAAAGTGATCAAGAGCTTTGTAATCAGCTGAATTCGTTATTCTCTGAGTGACAAGTTATATAAACTCATAGAGCCTCGGTTTCCTTATCATAAAATGGGAATTGTAGAACAGCCATGACTATTGAGTGAAATGATGAATATGAAGTACTTACAACTTCACCACCATCATCCCATTTGGTTCAGCATTTAGGAACCTGGCTCCTGTTTTTATTACCATTTTTTATTGCCTAGGCACACAGGAAAGGAGCTCTGGTGGCACAGTGCCTAAGGCATTTAACTACTACACAGAAGATTGGCAGTTCAAACCCACCAGCCACACCGCAGAGGGAAAACAGGCCAACCTACTTCCACAAGGATTCACAGCCTTGGAAACCCAATGGAGGGGTCACTATGAGTCAGAATTGACTCAATGGCTATGGGTTTGGGTTTTTTTTTAAGGCATCCAGGAAGTTAGAGAGGGAACCTCAGAAGTCATCTGCACTGACATTTAACAAATGGGAAAGCTGAGGCAAAAGAACAAGTCTAGCAAAACAGCAATGGAACCCACAGCTTTTGCTCCTGGCCTTGGTGTGGACATTTTTATGCTCTTCATATGTCTGTGAAATGTTAAAGGAAAAGTATTGAATCATTGTACCTTCTCTTCTCAAAGCCTAGCAGAGTCCCAAGAAAGAAAGGAAGAAAAGGGAGGCTATTTATTGGCTTGTCATAACCAAAAAAAAAAAAAAAAAAAACTTCAGTCGAGTTGATTCCAACTTACAGTTACCCTGTAGGACAGAACAGAACTGCCCAATAGAGTTTCCAAGGCTGTAAATCTTTACCGAAGCAGACTACCTCATCATTCTCCTGAGGAATGGCTAGTGGGTTCAAGTCATTGCCCTTTTGGTTAGCAGCTGCCTGCTTTAACCACTATACCAACAGAGCTGCTTTGGTTTGTTTTAAAACCCAAACCAACCTCACTGCCATCAAGTAGATTCCGATTCATAGCGACCCCCATTGGGTTTCTGAGGCAGTCAATCTTTACGGCAGTACATTGTCCCATCTTCCCTCTGCGGAGCACCTGCCACCAACCTTCTGGTTAGCAGTCAAATGTCTTCTGGATGCAACCATTACAACTATTGACACTCCTAGAAGATAGTGGCTCTGACCCTTTCCCTAGGTACCAGATGCAGGCCTTGGAAACCCTATTGCTCTGTCCCTTTCATCTGTTATTCCCCTCACTTGAGGATGCCTGTTACTTCCAAGCACTGGATAAAGTCTCTGACAGGAGACAAAGTTTACACAGCAGTGATAGCATAAGGGAATCAGGGAAGGCTTCCTGGAGGAAGTGATGTTTAAGCTGAGACCCGATTTATGAGAAGAAAGGAGCCAAGTACATAGGAGGAGCTACCAAACAAAAAAACAAGATGCCTTGAAATGAGACAAAAGAGCCAGATGTTTTCTGAAGAATCATAAGAAATTCAATCTGATTTAGCTGAGACTGCATAGGGAAGAGGAAAAAGATGAGACTGAACAATTGTTTTTTTAGTTCATTAGTTCTTTCTTCCTTGAATTTTTTTCCCTAGCCATGGTGTATCCCAATGCCAGTGATTTTAATCCTACCAGTGATAATTCCTTTGGAATCACAAATTGGCACCCAACCTCCACAATAGCTCTTGTCTTAGCTCTGGTAGCATAGTGCCTAAGGCATTTGACTGCTAACCAGAAGGCTGGCGGTTCAAACCCACCAGCCACTCCTCGGAAGGAAGGTTGGGCAA